TTGCCAATACTCCACGTTCTTGTTGAAATCAACTGGTCCAACCATCTCTGCAAGGCCGACAAATTGCCCACTTGTGTTGACTAAATAAGAATTCAGTGAAGTAAAATTATCACAAAGCATTAGACAGAAGGAAGCAATAAAACAACATCAGATCAGTAGCACCTTACCGAGAAAAAAAGGAACACGGGACAACCAGCAGATTTCAGCTGAGCCTCCTGGTAAGCTGCATCAAGCTTTTTGTTGCCATTTGGTGTGCTGGCCCAGACATTATACTTGATGCTCTTATGGACATCATCCTCACTGTATGACTTAATAACGAAGAACTTTGCATCTGTATAATCCTCAGAGAAATCTTCCCTATTGTACTGTTCTCTGTCTGGAATCAAGCAACTTTTATCTTTCTCCTCATTATTAGCTCCATTAGACTGCTCATTCAGTCCCTTCACTGGTACTGTGGGAGGCACTACACCCTTTTGGTTCTTAGAACCCTTTGCCCTTGGTCCTCTGTTGAGTTCATTTAAACCGTCCATGTTTTCATTTCCATAAAAGTAATTATTACCTCTTCCCCTAGGTTTATACTTGCTGTTGTCAACGGATAGCCAACCCCGTCCATTTGTTCTCAAGTCATAGCCTGTAGAACCAAAGCCCATACCAGATCTAATAGTGTTTCCATACTGACCATATAATTTGTTAGAATACATCCTATTGATATATCCATGAGCAGTACTGATGCCAGATATTGGAGATGGATGGTGCAAGCCCTGCAGAGAAGACACTAGAGATAAATAGAACGTACAGCAACTACACGACAAGTCTGGCAAATGCTAGAGGCATAAAGCACCAAATCAACAAATTGACAGGTAGATAAATTGCATGAAGTCTCCTTATAAGCAGAACAAATCATATAAAGTCATAAAAATAATTCAATCTTTATTTTCTTCATACCATGTAATGAGAATTTGAACGATAATTTTGGTTCCTTGAAGGTTGAATATTATTTCCCTTTGAAAAGGATGAAGTAACAGCAGTACTAGTCACAGGCCTGTTCTGTCCATCTGAAAACCTAGAGTTGTCTTGCCATGGGATAGGAGAGTGAAACCCATCAAAACCATACCTTGGATCCTGATAACCAGAAGCTGGAAAACCCCCTGGCATAGAACCCCGGCCATAAGAATTATTTGAACCAAACGAGTTTTGATAAGTGGGTTTTAGGGGAGCAGGGCCATTATTTCCCTTGACAACAGCACCACCAGTAACACCAGTTGAAGTGGTGTTCGTATTCTCCACCGCCAATGGCTTCTGGTCGGCAGCAGTAGATGTCGAAAGATCTCCCTGGGAAGGAGCAGGCAGAGTGGGTGTAAATGGAGCACTGCTTGCGACAAGTGGTGGGAAATAGGTAGGATACTGATAATGCTGAGCACCATATAGTTGACCATCATTTCCCATAGTAGGAACCGGGGTACTTGCTGGCGAATAGGGGGCATAGGGTGCGTAACCATATCCATGGTGATACATAAGAGAACCGTTGTCTCCATAAACGCCCTGGGAAACATCAACAAGCCAGTTAAAATACTAACATATGACTTGAGAGAAATAAGTTGAAGAACACCTAAACCGAACCTAAATAATTGTGAATTATCAATTTCATCTGATACATAGAATAGCATCATGTTCCAAGTGCTAACACGAAACGAACGAGTGAAAAACTTACAGAACTCATGTCCACGCCATCTGGAGCCATGTAACTTGAGTAGTCATCCCACTCATTCCCGGTACCATTAAAGCCTGCACCAAATTGAGCACCCAGTTTTCCTAAGACACTAACTCCTTTTCAGTACAATTTAACAAACTGAGTAAAAAGTTTTCGCCTCCAATCCCGTGGAGTAAATGAAAATCAACCAACCTCCATAGTAATACGCAGTGGATGGATAACCATTGGGGAGATAGCACATGGAGGGATCCACAAAATCAGGCAGCAGAGGGGTTATAGACCGCTCAAACGGTTGGATTTGACCATTTGCAGCATTGGCCGAATCTACAGATCCATATTGATAAACAGGGGGCTATATGGGAAGAAACAATCAAAATAAAAAATCAGACCTCCAAGCACTCAGCAAAGTTTTAATCACCAATAAGGCTTAATGAACAGGCATATACCTTCTTGGTGGGCTCCGGGATTTCAAAAGTCTTTGCTTGGGAATCTAAGGACAGTTTCTGCAACAAATCTGCAGTTTCTACAAGTGGCAAAAGTGAAGGAAACACACC